CTGAACAACATTCTACTCAATGATGACTTGGTCAAGGAAGAAATATAAAGACTTTTTATAATTTAAAGAAAATGAGGACACATCACACCAAAACTTGTGGGACTCCAATAAAGCAGTGCTAAGAGGAAAACTCATAGCTCTAAGTGCTTACAAAAATAAACTGGAGAGAGCATACACTAGCAGCTTGACAGCACACCTGAAAGCTCTAGAACAAAAAGAAGCAAATACACCCAAGAAGAGTAGACAGTAGGAAATAATCAGACTCAGGACTGAAATCAACCAAGTAGAAACAAAAAGAACTATACAAAGTATCAACAAAACCAGGAGTTGTTCTTTGAGAAAATCAACAAGATAGATAAACCCTTAGCAAGACTAACCAGAGGGCACAGAGACAGTAACCAAATTAATAAAATCAGTATTGAAAAGAGAGACATAACAATAGAAATGGAGGAAATAAAAAAAAATCATATCTGACTAGATAAGCCTATACTCAACAAAACTGGAAAATCTGGATGAAATGGACAAATTTCTAGTCAGATACCAGTTACCAAAGTTAAATCAGGAGCAGATAAGCCATCTAAACAGTCCCCTAAAGAAATAGCAGCAGTCATTAAAAGTCTCCCCACCAAAAAAAGCCCAGGACCAGATGGTTTTAGTGCAGAATTCTATCAGACCATCAAGGAAGATCTAATACCAGTTCTCTTCAAACTATTCCACAAAATAGAAACAGAAGGAACACTACCCAGTTCATTCTATGAAGCCACAATCATGCTCATACGTAAACCTCACAAAGACCCAACAAAGAAAGAGAACATCAGACTAATCTCCCTTATGAATATCGATGCAAAAATACTCAATAAAATTCTGGCAAACTGAATGCATGAATACATCAAAACAATCATTCATCATGATCAAGTAGGCTTTATCCCAGGAATGCAGGGCTGGTTCAATATTCAGAAATCCATCAATGTAATTCACTATATAAACAAACTCAAAGAAAAAAAAACACATGATCATCTCACTAGATGCTGAGAAAGCATTTGACAAAATTCACCATCCCTTCGTGGTAAAAGTGTTGGAAAGATCAGGAATTCAAGACCCATGCCTATCCATAGTAAAAGCAATATACAGCAAGCCAGTAGCCAACATAAAATTAACTGGAGAGAAACTTGAAGCAATTCCACTAAAATCAGGGACTAGACACAGCTGCCCACTCTTTCCCTACCTATTCCATATAGTACTAGAAGTCCTAGCCCGAGCCATTAGACAACAAAAGCAAGTCAAAGGGATACAAATAGGAAAGGAAGAAGTCAACATTTCACTATTTGCAGATGATAAGATAGTATACTTAAGTGACTTTAAAACTTCCACCAGAGAACTATTAAACCTGATAAGAAACTTCAGCAAAGTGGATGGATATAAAATCAACTCAAACAAATCAGTAGCTTTCCTCTATTCCAAGGATAAATAGGCTGAGAAAGAAATTAGGGAAATGGGACCCTTCACAATAGTCACAAATAATATAAAACACCTTGGTGTGAATCTAACCAAGCAAGTGAAAGATCAGAATGACAAGAACTTCAAGTCTCTGAAAAGAAATTGAAGATCTGACAAAATGGAAAGATCTCTTATGCTCATTGATTGGTAGGATTAATATAGTAAAAATGGCCATCATTCCAAAAGTAATCTACAGATTCAATGCAATCTCCATCAAAATTCCAAATCAATTCTACATAGAGTTAGAAAGAGCAATTTGCAAATTCATTTGGAATAACAAAAAAACCCAGGCTAGCCAAAACTATTTTCAACAATTAAAGAACTTCTGGGAGAATTACCATCCCTGACCTCAAGCTGTATTACAGAGCAATAGTGATAGAAACTGTATGATATTGATACAGAGACAGACAGGTAGATTAATTTTCAAAAATGGTGCAGGTTCATCTGGTGGTCAGCATGTAGAAGAATGGAAATTGATCCATTCTTGTCTCCTTGAACAAAGCTCAAGTCCTAGTAGATCAAGACCTTCACATAAAACCAGACACACTGAACCTAATAGAAGAAAAAGTGAGGGAAAGTCTCAAACACATAAGAACAGGGGAAAAGTTCCTGAACAGAACACCAATGGCTTATGCTCTAAGATCAACAATAGACAAATGGGACCTCATAAAATTGTAAAGCTTCTGTAAGGCAAAGGACACTGTCAATAGGGCAAATCAGCAACCAACAGATTGGGAAAAGATTTTTACCAATCCTACATCCGATAGAGGCCTAATATTCAATATATACAAAGAACTCAAGAAATTAGACTCCAGAGAATCAAATAACTCTATTAAAAATGGGGTACAGAGCTAAACAAAGAATTCTTAACTAAGAAAACTTGAATGGCTGAGAAACACCTAAAGAAATGTTCAACATCCTTAGTCATCAGGGAAATGCAAATCCAAACAACCCTGAGATTCCACCACACACTAGTCAGAATGGCTAAGACCAAAAACTCAGGTGATAGCAGATGCTGGTGAGGATGTGGAGAAAAAGGAGCACTCCACCATTGGATTGCAACCTGATACAACACTGTGGAAATAAGTCTGGCAGTTCCTCGGAAAATTTGACATAGTACTACCTGAGGATCAAGCTATATCACTCCTGGGCATATACCCAGAAGGTGCTCCAACATATAGCAAGGAAATATGCTCCCCTATGTTCATAGCAGCCTTATTTATAATAGCCAGAAGCTGGAAACAACCCAGATGTCCTTCAACAGAGGAATGAATACAGAAAATGTGGTACATTTACACAATGTAGTACTACTCAGCTATTAAAAACAATGAGTTCATGAAATTCTTAAGCAAATGGACGGGACTAGAAAATATCATCCTGAGTGAGGTAACCCAATCACAAAAGAACACACATGGTTTGTACTCACTGATAATTGGATATTAGTCCAAAAGCTCGCAATACCCAAGATGCAACTCACAGACCACATGAAGCTCATGAATTAAAAAGACCAAAGTTTGGCTGCTTTGGTCCTTCTTAGAAGGAGTAACAAAATATTCATGGGAACAAATATGGAGACAAATTGTGGGACAGAAACTGAAAGAGGGGCCGTCTGGAGACTGTTCCACCTGGGTATCCATCCCATGTGCAGTCACCAAACGTAGATGCTGATGTTGATGCCAGAAAGTGCATGCTGACAGGAGCCTGATATAGCTGTCTCCTGAGAGGTCTGCCAGATTCTGAAATATACAGAGATGGATGCTCACAGGTAACCATTAAACTGATCATGGGGTTCCCAATACAGGAGTGAGAGAGAAGACTGAAGGAGCTGAGAGTTTGTGGCCCCATGGGGAGAGCAAAAATACCAACCAACCAGAGGTCCCAGGGTCTAAACCACCAGCCTGGGAGCACACAGGGAGGGACTTATGGCTCCAGGTGTATATGTAGGGGAGCATGGCCTTGTTGGGCATAGGTGGGAGAGGAGATCCTTGGTCCCATGAAGGCTGGACACCGTGTGTGCGGGAATTCGTGGGTGGGGAGGTGGGAGTGGGGGGGTACTTGGGAGCACATCCTCACAGAAGCAGGAGGAGGGGAGATGGGATGGGGGTTCTTGGGTGGGGGGGAAAGGGGATCACATCTGAAATATAAATAAAATATCCAATAAAAAATTTAAAAAACATTAAATCTAAGTATTAATTATTTCAACTAGTACAATTGATCTTCAACGTTGTATGTAAACTGGATAATTAAGTAATCTTTTAAATGTATTCTCTGACAAGTTGAAATAATAACTAAAGCATAATTAAATGACAAAGAATTCATTATAAATTCAAAAAGTTGCATACTAAGCTTAGAACAGTGAGTGAAGCTACTGTTCTAAGAAAATGTTATATACTTCAGTTCAAAAATACTTAATAAGATTCATTTCCTATTCAGTTTCTTGATGGACATTATCAAGAAGAAAATTCAAGTGATTATATTAAGACTCATTTCATATTCATAAACCAATTTAAAAAATCAAAAAAGCACATCTAAACATTGTTTATCCTACCAAGAACAGTAATTTGCAAGCATATGTATAAGAATTTATCATGCATGAATTGTTCATAATATTCAAGTAACTTAGCCTTAGAAATCAATTTATATTAAATAAACTACATTTTAAAACACTTAAAGAGTATTTCCTCACAATTTAAAGCCACTTGGGCCTGGGAAGAAGAAATTAACTAGCAATGCTATAGTTATGGGTAACAGCTGCGCAGCCAATATTTAATCACTACACTGTGAGACGGTCAGGAGGGGAAGGCAGGATTAACATATTGCTTTAAAACATTCCAGTATGTTCTGCATCTGTTTACTGACAATAAAAGACACAGCTGTTGCAAGCGATGCACACTAACAGGTGTAACGTGCCAATCTGGCACTTTACGTACACGTTACCCCTCATTTCCTTTTGGAATACTCTAAAATTATCCTGGAAGCCACTGCTACCGGTACCATAAATGGTTTTCATATTAATTTTAATTATTCTAGTCACTATGTAAAAGATGCTTCTTTCTCCATGAACTCAACAGCTTTTAAAACAAACACTACAGATCCTGAACTAATTATAATTACCCCAGATGTTTTCCATAAAAAATGGTATCTTTAGCAAATGTTCTATATCAAATTCACTGGAGAGAGCATCAAAATTATGAAGAATTCTATCAACTTCACTGTGCTTAAACAAAAAAAATGAATAAATTTTGAGCTTGTAATTTATTTTGACATAGTTCTTTAGTTAGCCTACAGCCATTCATATTTAAACCAATGGTACCACGAAGAAATTCAATAATTTAATAATAAATTATCAACAATCATTCATCTCAAGCATGACAAAATAATGAAATTTTGTGAAGATCATAAATATAACTTACATAAATGTTTTTTAAAAAACACTTTTATACTTATTCTAAAATCATGTTAAAACGTTCTGAGCAAAAAAGCAATTCCATCCTGTTCAAGTATATAGTAAATATGGGTGACTGTTTTTATTTATAAATTATAGCAGTGACATTATAAGTACAAACCAATGTCAATGGAAAAATTAAAGAATTGATGATAATGAGTAGATGAAATGTTGAAATTGGATCTTCTCTTTACTTTTAACATAGAAAATCTGGAGAGAAGATGCAGAAGTGAATCATAGGAGTCCAAAACGTTCCAGGCGCCTCCTCTTCTTTTCCTACAGTTAAGACATTGGTGATGTTAGTTTTTGAAAAGAGTGTGACAAGACATTTATAGGGTCCATGTTAGTTATGACCACACTGACATGAGCAAAAACATGTAGTCTTTAAAAAGTTTTACTTATGCATAATTATATAAAACATTCCAATTCCAACAGAAGCTGTTGCACAGAAGTTATTTTTTTGAGGTTGTGGTTCATGTTGCCCAAGCTAGCCTTAAACTTACTATATAGCCAAGAATAACCTTGAACTTCTGATCTCTTCTATCTCCTTGGTGTTGGAACGACAAGCGTGAGCAACCACACTAGGCTGATGTAGCGATCAGGACTGAACCTAGGGCCCACACCTCCTAGGAAAACACTTGTTTCTACAGAGCTCCATCCCATCTTGAAGTTTAGATAAAATGTATTGTTGCCACAGCAGTACAGGTTCTTCTGAAGACAGCTGTAGCCAATGCATACTCTTACTTTTCTGCCTAAGTGGGTACTGGGGATTGAACCCAGTGCCTTGTGCATACTAGGTATGCACACTCTGCCACTGAGCTTCACTTCTAGACCCTGATGCTTATATTTTCAAAAGAAATATGAGTATTTTTAACATGGAAAAATCAAGAACAAGTATTGACTATTTTGAGACAGCTTTGTTATGTAGCCTAGATGACCTGGCATTCACTATACAGCCCCAGATGGCCTGTGTCCTACCTTAGCCTTCAAAGTACTGAGATTATAGGTGTGTAGTGCTATTCTTGGACTCTGAAAATGATTAACTGCCTGAATGCAGTTGATAATGATGCATAACCTCACTCATTATGTGACCTTAGAAATACACCATAGATAATGTGCATTGTCTGATGTATAAATTATGATATACCACAAAATTCTATGATAAAAATTCATACTTCAGAAACCCCTTTAAATTCACAAATTTAATGACTATAAGTCATATTTATCCAATATACCTTAACTTTGTAATTTGTTACAACCCTTTATTAGAATGTTTATCAATAAAAAATGTTTGTGTCCACCCCTTTGGGATTTCTATCCTAGCCCTGACTGCCACTCGCCATCTTCCAGAGACCCTTGAGCCATACAACTTGGTACAGTAGAAAGTGCTGTGCTTCCCCCTCCCCCCTTATCCTCTCCCTTCCTCTCCCTACCCCTCTCCCTGCCCCTCCCTACCCCTCTCAGTGCCATCCTCCAGACTCTCATTCAAACTTCTCCCCATCACCTGCTGCCATTTTAAGCTCTGCAGTGGTTCCATGCAGCTGCTTATGAACCTCTATTCCATTCCTCTTTGCTCTCTTCTGGATTTTCATCCAGCCCTGCCCACCCTGCACTTAGGTTCTTGGTGCCAAAAGGTCATATCGGATGACATAAGCTGCACTTAAACTCCAGAAGCCTAAGTATCACAATAAAAAACACACAAAAACCCCACAAAACTAAACTAAAACCAACTAAGACAGCATGCTGCTCCCCCAAGCCACCAAGTCCATGGATTGTCTCGAATAAGAACAACAAGATAAAGAGTTCAAGAGAACAGTTATAAACCAGTTGAAAGAGGTCAGAGAACTCAAAAAGGACATGAATAAACACTTTAACAAACTTAAAAAAGAGAAGAATAAATTCCTGATTGAACCCCCTCAAAACACAAACATTTTTGTGAAATACAGTGGACAATCTGTGATGTGAGAGCTGGCTGGTATGTGTCAACTAGAAACAAACTAGAGTCATGAGGGAGGAAGGAGCTTCAGCTGAGGAAATGCCTTCATAGGATCCAGCTGTTAGGACATGGTTTGTCTACATAGCCTTGGTTGTCCTGGAACTCACTCTGTAGACCAAGCTAGTCCCAAACTCAGAGATCTGTCTGCTTCTGCCTCCAAAGTGCTTGAATTAAAAGTGTGTGCCACCATTGCCCAGCCTTAAGGAATTTTCTTAATTAGTGACCAATGGGTGGGGACATCCCATCCCTGGTATGGTGAGCCTGGGTTCTATAAGAAATCAGGCAGAATAAGCCACTAAACAGCACCCCTCCGTGGCTTCTATATGAGCTTCTGCCTCCAGGTTCCTGCCCTGCGTGAGTTCCTGCCTTCACTGCCTTTGATGGTAAATTGTCAATGAAATTATGAGCAAAATAAACACTTTCTCCCCACCTCCAAGTTGTTTTTTGTCATGGTGTTTCATCACAGCAATAGTAACCACAACTAAGACAATATTAAAAAATAATTCAATAAAGATATAGAAATACTGAAGAAAACAGAAATGAAGATAATGATGAGGAATTCAGAAAGCCTAATAAAGAGCTCAGTAGTATGGCTCACTAACAGATCATATAGAAGACAGAATAATAAGGCTTGACCAAAAGATAGAGGAAGTTAATAAAGAATATAAGAAAAATTTAAAAACACGTGAACAGAACATTAAGGATGTTAGGGACATCACAAAGGGTCCAAGTCTATGAACTGTGGGCATAGAAGAATTCCAAACCAAAGGCATATAAAATATTTTCAATAAAACCATGGAGGAAAATTTCCCAAATATATGGAAAGAGATTCTCATTCATATGAAAGGATACCAGACAGACAGAATAGAACCCCACACTATGTTACAGCTAAGACACACAGCTTACAAAGAAACAGATTACCTTACCTAGAAAAACTATCTTTCATAATTGAAGGACAAAGGAAATCATTCTACAATCTAAACATGTATAACATCAAATATCTTGGGGATAATCCTAAACAACAAACTAAACGACTTGTGTGATAAAAACTTTGAGACACTGAAGAAAGGAACTGCAGAAAATATCAGAAGATGAAAAGAACTCCCATCCTCTGATGTGCATGTGTTAGAAATTAGTTCATAGTGGTTTCTACCTCCTACTCACTTGGTCCAATCAGGATAATGCTATCAATACTGTGCACTAATGAAGAGACAGATAATCAAGATCCCTTCTAAGTTAAGACACAGGGTTGAAGAGTTAATACATCCTTGAGGTAAAACTGTAAAAGTATACTGTTGGCCTTGCCAACGGAAAGCAAACTGCTTCTGGTGATCCTTATGAAAAAGTACCAAGAAAAAGGTATTTGCTAGATCAATATTTGCATACCATTTACCAGTTGTGTTAATCTGCTCAAGTAAGAACACCACATCTGGTACAGCAGTAGTAATCAGAGTCATTATCTGATTGAATTTTTGATAGTCAACTGACAGTCAAATGACATACTCCATGATCCATATGTCTTCTGCACTGTTAAAGGTGGATATGGTGGGAACCATGACCCCTGCATCCTTCAAGTCCTTGATGGTGTCACTAATTTCAGCAGTTTCTCCAGGAATGCTGTAGTGGTTTTCATTCATTGTTTTCCTTGGTAGAGGCAATTCTAAAGGCTTCCCTTTAGTTTTTCCTAATATAATAGCCCTCACTCCACATGGTTACATGTCAGTAAACCAATGTGAGACTTCAGTAAACTCCTAAATATATGTATCCAAATTATACATTCTAGGACTGGGGGAATAAGTACAGGAGGAGTCCAGGGACTCACTGGACTCACTCTAAGTCGAACTTCAGCTTAGACTCCGTTCATCACCTGACTTCCAGAAGACTCTACTTTAACTGAAGGGCCACAATGATTCTTGGGCTCTTCTAGAATCAGCATCAATTCAGGACAAGTATGCAACAGAGGCCAGAAACTCAATTTCCTTACAGTGCACAATTGCCCTTGTAAAAGGTGTAGGTCTGTCCGATAAAATACTGGAGAAATGCCATAGTAAAAAATTCATGTATTTTATCAAATTCATGTATTTTATCATGTATTTTGTCCTTCCTCATGGGAACCTGGCCATCCCTTCTGTGGTGGTTTGAATAGTATGGCCCCCATAGATTCCTGTGTTTTAATATTTGGTCCACAGGGAGTGGCAACATTAGGGGGAGTGGCCTCAGAGTAAGTGTTGCCTTGTTGGAGGAAGTTCATCATTGTATAGGTAGGCTTGAGGTCTCATATATATGCTCAAGTATGTTCAGGGAGGCACACAAGTGTCTACTGTAGCCTGTGGATGAAGATGTAGAACTCTCAGCTCCTCCAGCACAATGTCTGCCTGGATGCTGCCATGCTTCCCACAATAATGATAATGGACTAACCCTCTGAAACTGTAAGATAGCCCCAATTAAATCTTTCCTTTATACAAGTTGCCATGTCATGTTATCTCTTCACAGCAATGAAAACCTTAACTAAGACACCTTCATTCAAGGGGTTCTGGGTCTGCAAACTGGCTTAAGTCTAGAAATGTATTCATAAGCCAAGATTCCCTTTTGCCATGACTTTGTGTAGACTTTCTTTCATTTGTTTGAGACTTTTTCTGCTTATACTGATGAAAGGAAAAGTCAGTAGGCTTTTTATCTATTTCATGCCTGCAAACACAATGACTTATTCGCCAGTACCAAAGGTCCATCCATGGCAGTATAGAATTTACTTTGCCTGTACTGACCATTACAGGTTGGGCCATTATGAACATTGCTTTGTCTACACTACCCATTACAATAACTAAGATAACCTTGCTTTTTGGTGATTCAGTGGTGCCACCTGCCCTCGGCTACCACGGGACTCAATTAAACCCACTGCATTTAATTCATCCAACCAAGCTGCCACATTTCCAACCATAAGGTCTGGCACAAGAAAAAGAGTGACAACAAATCTCTTCAAATGTGCTGGTGCCTCTCTCACCATTTTGTGTCTTGCAGGATTAGAGAAGGGCATGTCTCTGGCCCTTCCCATTAGGATTAGGTTGAACACACTATATCTACTCTATCATTGCAGCCTGGGCCTTAAAATTCCTTCATCAATAAGCTAAGGAATATCAGGTGTTTCCAACCACTTTTCAGTAGGCCATCTTTTGGTAAATGTTTTAGCCAGCCATTTAAACAAAATTTTGACACCTTTTTTTTTTAAATCTATGTGAGATGCCATATGAAACATAGGATCTCCACTCAGAGAGCCTATATTGATAAACTCAGTCTGACCCAGCTTTATGTTCCTACCACCATGATCCTTCACTCTAAAATTTCCCACATATATCTCCCAGACTTCTGTCTGAATGCATTAGCAAAATCATAAAGCTCTTTACTAGCATACCACACTTCCTCATGGACTATACTTTCTACTGCCCCTCTAGTAGCCTGCTCTACCTTAAGTCTGATCATAGGTCTAGAGGGACATCAGTATGTCTTGCCTGGTATTTCTTTCAGAGAAAGTCACTGCTGGTTTAGCTGACAATAAAGGAGTAATTTCCTCAGTCAAAGGTAAAAAAAGAAAATGTCAGTATTCCAAGAGCAATTGTCAATAACTAGATAAAAATACTAGTGTAGAAAGCAATTAAAAAATAGTTAAAATTGACCTCTGGCTTTCACATGTAAGCCTCATACATAAATGTGCATCATTACACACACATGAACACATGCACATATTCATGAACATATATGAACATATAAAAATGTGCACACTTAATGACAAAAATAATTTTATGATATTATGGATCCAACATCCAAAAAAAACCCAAAATGCAAAGATTTGATAGAATTTCATTCTGATACAAGGCTCAACTTTTATCTTTAGCTACTGTTATATGACTTTCAAAACCATGCATCCTGTACCCAAAGGTTTCCTTTTAGAAAGAAGATGCTAAAACCATAAAATGTAAATTTAGCTTTTTTTACTTCTACATGTGTATAAATTTAGTTATTTTACATAAATTAATTTAACTCTTATAATTTAATTTATTTGCCAATCTTTATAGTTACAAAGGTAAATTACCTGGCTCTTCAATTACAAATGATAAATTACAAAATAATTTAACAAATAAATTAACAAAATTTATTTTATAAAGTTCTATTCAGAATATGTGAAAATATAGAAAATTTTAAAGACAGAAAGTTAATCTAATCATAAACCAAGCAAAATATAGATTTTATATTTATTCTTCTTTAAACAAATAATTTTTACAACTTAAAAAAGTCATATTTTTCTAACGTAAATCACTATGAAATCAATAGCTATTCATAAAAGGCATAGGAAAACACAGTAATACTCATTAATAAAAATAACAATTGAAATTTTTGTACATTAAATATTATGGCTTACCATATCAGCATTTTCTTTGCCTAAAATACAAAAATTCACAAATCTTAAAACAAAAAAACTCAAAAAATCTATAGTTACAAGAATTTGTTAATGTATACACAACATAAAATGATGTAAACTAATTACCAAAAACATAAACATGAAAAGAAGTAGAAATGTAGTTTGTTACACAAATACAGTTCAGTTTTGGCACCTTAGAATAGACTGTTATAGTGGGCAACCAATGGCAATGGAGAGCTGTGTAGTTTGGTATCTATCACACTTGTGAGATCCAATGAGGGAGGTACATAAGAGGCAGTTTCACAGCACTAAATACCTACATTTTTAAAAATGGAAAGATCTTATATTAGTAACTTAATGGCCTACCTAAAAGCTCTAGAACAATAATAAGAAATAGTGCCCCAAATGAGTAGATGGCAAGAAATAGTCAAAGTCATGGTTGAAATTTAAAAAACAAAACAAAAAAGAAACAACAAAAAATATACATAGAATTAATGAAACAAAGAGCTGGTTCTTTGCTAAAAGGCAGAAGAAGATCCAAATTACCAAAATTAAAGACCAAAAGGGGTGACACAACAGACACCAAGGAGATCTAGAAAATCATAAGAACATACTTTAAAATGCTATATTCCAACAAATTGGAAAATCTAACAGAAATGCATAATTTTCCTGAAACATAAAACTGACCACAGGTAATTCAAGATAATATCTGCAATTTAAACAGACCTAACCCCTAGTGAAATGAAGTGCTCATTAAAAGTCCCCCTACAAGTGGCTAAAGAGATGTCTCAGTGGTTAAGAGCACTAACTGCTCTTCCAGAAGTCCTGAGTTGAATTCCCAGCAACCACGTGGTAGCTCACAACCATCTGTAATGGAATCTGATGCCGTCTTCTGATGTGTCTGAAGACAGCTACAATGTATTCATAAATAAGATAAATAAATCTTTTCAAAAAATGTCTCCCTACAAAAAATGCCCAGGGCCAAATGGTTTTAGCACATAATTCTACCAGACTTTCAAAGAATTAACACCTCTACTCTTCAAATTATTCCATATAATTGAAACAGAAGAAACATTATTTTATTCTTTTTACAAGACCATAATCACCCTGATACTCAAACCACATAAAGACAGAAAAAAGAAAGAGGATCACAGACTAATTTTGCTTATGAATATTGATATAAAAATTCTCAACAAAATACTTGGAAACTGAATCCAGGAACACATCAAAAAGCCATTCACCATGATTAAGTAGGTTTCATCTCAGAGATGCAAAGATAGTTCAACATCTATAAGTTGGTAAGTGAAATCTTCTACATGAACAGACTGAAAGATAAAAAGCACATGATCATGCATAAAGCCCTTAGACAAAAATCAAATACTCCTTATAATAAAAGTCCTTGAAAGACTAGCAATACAAGGACATACCTCAACATAATAAGGTGATTTACAGCAAGCCCACAGCCAAAATCAACGTAAATGAAGAGACAACCAAAGCATTTCCATTAAAATCAGGAACAAGACAAAGTTATCCACTCGTATAAGTTCAATACAGTACTTGAAGTCTTAGCTTCAAGATGAATAAGACAATGGAAGGAGATCAAGGGTATAGAAAGGAAAGAAGTCAAAGTATCTTTTCTTGCAGATGATGTGATAGTATACATGATTGATCCTAAAAATTCCACCAGGAAACTCTTATACCAGATAAACACTTACAGAAAAGTAGCTGATGCAAAATTAATACAAAAAAATCAATAGACTTCTTATTTACAAATGACAAATGAACTGAGAGAAATCAGGGAAACAACACCTTTGACAATATCCTCATAGAACATAAAATATTTTGGGTTAACTCTGACCAAGCAAGTGAAAGAATTATATGATAAAAAAACTTTAAGACATTGGAAAAACAAATTGAAGAAGATATAAAAAGATGGAAAAGATTTCCCATGCTCGTGGAACAGTAGAATTAATACAGTAAAATGGCCAGTCTACCAAAAGCAATCTACGGATTCAATGTGATTCCCAACAAAATTCCAACACAATTCTTTACATACCTTGGAAGGATAATTTTCAGCTTCATATGGAAACACACACGTACACGCACATGCACACATGCACACGCACACGCACATGCACCAAGATGGATAAGCAACTCTGAATAGTAAAAGAACTGCTAAGGTATCACCATCCCCAACCTCAAAATATACTACAGAGCTATAGTAACAAAACCAGTATGGTACTAGCATAATACAGAAACATTGATCAGTGGCATCAAACTGAAAATGCAGATATAAATCCACACACCTGTTTGGACACATTTTTTTTTTTACAAAAAAAAAAAAGAAGCCAGAAATACACACGGTGCTGGTCAACTGGATGGCTGCATGTAGAAGAATGAGTGTGTGTGTGTGTGTGTGTGTGCATGTGTGTTCCAGCTTGCATACAACTCACCTCCAAACAGATTGAAGACCTCAACATAAGGCCAGATATACTCAATCTGATAGAAGAGAAAGTAAGGAATAATCTTGAACTCATTGGCACATAAAAAGGCTTTCTGAACAGAAAACCAATAGCATGGGTATAAGAACAATTAATACATGGGACACCATGAAACTGAAGTTTCTGTATGGCAAAGGACACCATCATCTGGACAAAGTGGGAAAAGACTTCTACTAACTACATATCTGATAGAGGACTAATATCTAAAATATATAAAGAACTCAAGGTACTGGGCTTCAAGGAAACAAACAACCTAATTAAAATAGGCTACAGATCTAAACAGAGTATTCTCAAAAGAGTAAACAGAGGTGGCTGAGAGGCACTTAAAGAAATGTTTGACATCCTTAGCCATCAGGGAAATTTAATTAAAAACTACTTTGGGGGGCTGGAGAGATGGCTCTTACAGAGGTCCTGAGTTCAATTCCCAGCAGCCATATGGTGCCTCACATCTATCTGTAATGGGATCTGATACCCTCTTCTGGCACACAGGTGTACATACAAATAGATCACTCGTATATACATTAAATAAATAAATAAATAAATAAATAAATAAATAAACAAACCTTTTAAACTACTTTGAGTTTTTATCTTACCCTAGTCAGAATTCAAACTTTTATATATAAAAACAATAACTACAAAATACTGTTTATTTTCCATACGCTACATACAAAATCAGTCTTGGAACTTTACCACTTAAAGGAAGTCTTACAGGTAGTATATCATCTTCATTTATGATACAGAATGCACTAACAACTTGAATTCACTTAATGCTTGCACCTAGTAATAGAATTCAATAGTCAATTGGCCCTAAGCATGACAATAATGTTGATTACTCTTCACAATGCTTAACACATAATAAGAAACACTTTATACAATCGATAAGAAAAAATTCTTGCTCTGTTCTAAGAACCACAGCTCTGGCTATAAATCACTGTGCAATATTTTAAAAATATATATATCTAACTATAATGCTTAGGAGTTTGATTTTTAAATTTATTTAAGTTAAACACATTAAAAATAATAATCTTTCTGTGTGCATTCAACTTCTCTAATTAGTCAGTCTGCCACATATGTCTCCAGGGTCTATCCCAGTGAGTCTCCTGAGCCTCTTCATACACACTTTCTTTTCAGCACACCAGATCTAGTCAAGGTCCAATATTTAGTGGCCCCCACCTATGCTGACCACCTAAATCAGAGCCGCTTCAATTTCGATGCTTCTTCCAGGGCCATCTCCACTTATATGCCAAAATGCTGGGCTTTCCTACCACACACCCAACCTTTCTACATTGCCAGATCTACATCCTACAATTCAGGCTTGGACAAAAAGGAACATTCTATATACTAGCTCAGTCCAACCATGATTCTCAATATGGCCACATATCCACATACTCTCTCCTCATACATGATTTATCTTTATCATATTTAGAACTAACAGAAGATGTCCACATGCTCAGGGTTCATTGCAAACGTATCAAGAATATGAAAGATCAAGGCAGTATCTTTTCACCAAAACGTATCCATCCTGTGGAGATGGTTCGTATGAAAATGACCTAGAAAACCACAGGTCACAGAATTTAAAAGAACAATCATACACTTCATCAAAGATTCAAGGAATTAAACAAAGACAAAAAGAAACAGCTCCATAAAATTAAAGAGCAAGAACTTAAGGAAAATAAATGCCCGTGTGATGTCCAAGAAAACTCAAATGATGGAAATGACAAAAAACAATCCAGGATGTGAGAACAGAATTCAATAGAGAGATAAAAACATTGAAGAGGACTCACACTGAAATAATGATGAAACTGAAAATCCAACAACTCACCTAGAAAACTCAAAGGAAAGTCATACAAGTAGAATGAATCAAGTAGAAGACAGTCTTGGCAATCAAGCACCTCCATGGCCAGCCCCGAGGGACCTTAAGACAAGGACAAGGGGACCAATAGAAATGGAAATAGCAGGGTACAAGTCACCTGATAGGGAATGATGAAGGATAATGAAGACAAATATGTAAGTGAGGAAGGAGATAATATAACAGTAATGATGTCTGAAAAAGCCCTAACAGCTCACAGTATTTACTATCCACATTAAGAAAAGATAAAGAAAAACAGAAACCAAACTTACAGTTAATGTAATTCTGTGTGCAAAAATAAACACACAATTTAAATGACATTTTGTCATCTTGGCTGACAATGCTCCCTTCAAAAGCCAAAAATCACCCAACAAAACCCCAGAGAAGCCTTCTAGTTCTTGAACAGGGTTATCTAAAAGATTCTTAAAACATTAAAGACTATTACAGTTGCTTCCAAGAGGTGGAAGGTAGTCCCTATTGCTGAACACTCTATGCACTTCAGACACAGGGCCGAGAGGTCCCTAAGCAGCAACTGACCTGAAGGCCTCCTCCTAGAGGACGCCTGCCAGGATGCCTGTGGAGCACAATAATGACCTAAATGGCAAGACAATCAATCTTAAGGGTACAATAATGGTATATATATCTTGGCAGTAACCAACAACAATCTATGATGTTTTGAGGATCTCTTGAGCAGCCCTGATAAACAGAACTAAAAGAGGTTTGTTCCAATTGAGGCTCTTGGAAGGAATATTGTCAGCCAAGATGAAAAAAATTTAATTGAAATAATATATGCATATGTATGCATAGTTACATGCATTAGTTTTTAAGGTAGAGAGATAATGCTAAGATCCATCATTACTTTTTAGGCACCCTTATCCTTTTGCCTTCTTCTCTACTTCTCTAATAGGATTTAAGAATCACTCATCAAGAGGGAAATCATGCCTAGGACTGGAAATATAGACAACTATTCAGGGCCAGTAAAGTCACACCCACCAATTTGCTGAACTAGAATAACACTTAACTAATTCTAAATATTTATCCTTATACCTACAGACAAGTTTAGTCCTCACCCCTCATAAAGGAAACTTGTTTTCTTAATAGAAAAAGTAGGGTCTAGAAGACCCAGAGGATCAGGGGGTTAGCTGTGAGACTATGTCTCCTAGTAATGTCAAAAGCTACCCTATAAACTCTTCCAAATTTGACTTTCTAATTATGAGCTGACCAAAAAAGACACTAATAAGATGCCAAAGTGAACAACGGACTATTTCCTAAGTAGCTAACCTTATATCCAGAGATAAGTGTAGTTCTCACCCCTCATCAAAGAAACAGAAAAGACCACAAAATAAAAACACATCCACTCCAAAGGCAGAACTGTGAACTCCAATCCCAATGGATGCACCTACAAAACATTGCTTGTACCTAAGGGCCAGGGAACATTGTTGAGGAGGGTTGGAAAGACTCCAAAGGCAGGATCAGGGAGTTCACTGTCAGAGTGTATCTCTTACTACTTTCAGAAGCCCATAAAGTCTCATCAACATGACTGTCCAAGTGTGAGCTGTCCAAGACAGGAACAACAGACACGCTGACATGGGCATGGAGCCGCAGGCCTCTTCCTTACATTAAGAACTACAGCAACCAAGGAATGCTGAGAGTGAAAGACATCCTCTTGTACAGGGAAGAGCACACAACTGGTTCTCCAAAAGCAAATGGTCAGGCCTGAAAATACACACACACACACACACACACACACACACACACACACACACACACAGAGAGAGAGAGAGAGAGAGAGAGAGAGAGAGAGAGAGAGAGAGAGAGAGAGAGAGAGAGAGAACACAAAAACCTAGCACGTTACATTTAGGACTATATACATATATGTGCATGGAATAACAACTAATGAAAAAAAGAGACTATAAATTTGAAAGAAAGAGGAAGGCTTGAAGGGAGGGAAGGGAAGGGAGAAATATTGTAATCATTCAGTCCTGAAATTATAATTACAAAAACTAAGAAAAAGTAAAAAGATCTTCTTGCTTTAACCTCATAATACAGGTATCATTGAAAGCAAAAATGTACAATATAAAACAATAGTCTTAGTATTTTCCATGTTTCTTCTATTATAAGTTAATTATTCTATAATTTAAAAAATTAAACCTAGTAACATATAATACTTTAAGTCTTTATACCTTTTAAAACAAACAATTTGAAAATGTACAGTTAGGAGTCTAGGATCTTACCCAAATTTTACATGGTTCTTTCCTAATTTCTCTAGGTTTTACCACTGTGTTCTTTCCTTATATTGAAAACACTCCAAAAACTTATCTTAAATCTGTTCTCTAATAACTACCCTACTAATTTACATTAATTTTTTTCTGGCTTATCTCATAATAACTAATCAAAATCTTTCCCCTTAGCTTGCTCACCATCTTTTAAAGAATTATTAATCTTTATTTTTACTTATTGTACTTTAACAGTGAAATTACAGAAAGAATATATGCGCCAAGATATGTGATAAAATAAAGAACCCTTTCCTTACTAGTGGCTCAATTCAAACAAAAAGATTCAATAGCAAAAAATAAAAAAAGTCGAGTTGTACCCTGATGTTTTGTTCACAGTCCTGCTCTGGCTGGCCTAGAGCAGAGCAGGTTCGGAAACTTATCATTACAGATGTACTGATGCCTTACACATGCTTATTGGCACTCACGCAATACTCAAAACAGTGGCAGAACATACCCGTTGACAGAGGCAGTCCAAAGCTTTAAGGGAAAATAAAGAGAAAAGTTGTATGAGAAATTTCTAATTGTGCAACAAATAACAAATACTTCAAATTGTGCATTAAAAAAATTCAAGGCCTTTTAGTTTAAAAAAAAAAAGCAGGAATTACCAAGAAGCCCCTGGTGATTTTCTGAATTCTTTACTTGTATTTATACCAAACTTCTTAATTCTCATATTAAATCTCTGAAAGTATATAAGTAAAAAATTGTATAAGTTTAAGAAACTATGACAGTAGAAGTGAAAAACAACAAAGCAAAAACAAACAAAACAAAACCCCCAAACCCAAACTAGAGACTGTCTCCAATAATAATTCTCAGGGAAAATAAGAGATGGGAAAATCAAGAACAATGCCTCGCTTCACGAAACTGAACAACTCAGCCAGAAAAATAAGCAAGGACACATGAAAGTGTCAAACATAAAGACAAATATACTGCATGGGTATCACAGAGACAGAAATGATGAAACCTTGCCCTACCACAGTGGTTCTCAACCTGTGGGTCACAACTCCTTCAACCAACCTATACTTTCAAAAATATTTATATTATGATTCATAATAGTAGCAAAATTACAGTTATGAGGTAATAATGAAAATAATTTTATGGTTTCCCAACACAAAATGACAAACTGCATTAAAGGGCCATAACATTAGGAAGTGTAAAGACCACTGTCCAGTAGATCTTATTGGATAGCAAAAACTATAAAAACTATGGTTCCAAAGGCAGATAGATTAACTCACCAACGTTAATTGTGAAGTAGTTAACAGTAAGAACTTATTGATTGATGAATGCCATGGGCTTACCATGGTGGTAAATGTTTGATGCATTTCTTCATATTTATATTTTAATATCGGTGTTTAATATTTTCAATAAACTTATGAGTTTATATAACATCTCTATTTTTCAAAGAAGCAACTCAATGCTATTAACTTTTATCAAATCTACATAATGAAAGGCTATGGTTAAATATTGACTCTAATCTATACTTACTTAAAAACCAAAGCATATTTAATACAATGCTAATTTACGAGTATCATTCAGGCTCACAGAAAAATGTCCAACCATACAGAAATTGTATAAGGGTAGGAATTTTGATAGTTTTAACTTAAGTGTAGAGTTAACTTGAAGTGCAACGTGTCAAGGTGAGACAGAAATTTAGATAATGATTTTAGGATAACAGATTACAAAGGAAGAGGCAAAGAGGGTGATGCACAAAAGGGAATTTAACATGAAAGGAAACTCCAACATGGAAGAGGGCTAGAAAAGACAGCAGTCAAATAAAGGCATATGTGTGCACATACTTGCACAGACACACATACATACATACTCACACACATTCACATACACATACACACACATACCCACTCACACATACAGACACACACACTCACATACTCTCATACACACATACTCACATACCCATTCGGACCATAGATTAAAATACTTCAAAATTATTACAAAAATACAGTTGGAAAGGATTTTCAAAGAACCTCAAAGACATCATATATCAACAAAGAGCGGGTGATACAAACCCTTTTATTATCCCATAAGATGCCAGTTACTTCAATGCAGTGGTCTAGGAAACATGAGCTAGTATTTTCCAAGAAGTCTATATAAGGCCATATAAAAGGTAAGAGGAAAGAAAATGAGGAAGATGCTGACAAGGAAGCCCTTGGTAAACTGCTGACTGCACCAGTGATGTCACGGTGCACTCTTAAACAGCACCATGCTGTTAGGCCAAAATGAGAACTAGCTTGTAGATCCAAAGTGGAGGAGTAACAGACAGAGCAAGAAGCTGAACAAAAGACCTGCTTACTAGAACGATACATTTCCAAGAACTATGACAGAGGCTAAATCTACTCCTTTCCCCCTATATTAAAAATATCAGCCAGGCAAGGTGATGTGTCCCAACTATCCCAAGAATAGTTATTCCAGAATCTGAGGCAGAGGTATCATGTAGGTAAGCATGAGCTACAAGAAAGACTCTGTCTCACCCCCAACCCCCAAGTCATGTTGGGAAACAGAACAAATAAACAAAATCAACACAAAGATGATACAGATGCATTATAAAATTCTTAAAGTAAGAATCTGCAAGTGAAACCTGCAAGTGAAACGTGTTGATAAACATGTGGAAAGTTAACATGGGCAGCTCAGCCTTCTTTTTTTTTTTTAATTTATTTTTTCTCAAATCATAATTCATTCACACAGGGGTTATAAACACAGAAAGGCAGGATGTGGGGAAGGGAATGACACTGGAGTGTGGGTGTTCAGGGGGGAATACAGATACCTTCAGAACCGGGTATCGGCTGGGTGAAGGTTCAGGGGACAAGTCACTATGACTCTGCCTATGATTTGCTTGTCCTTATCTAAGTTGGTATTGTCTGCCAAGGCTACCTATTTACAAGGTCTATGACTACTCAGGCTTGTAAATTTCCACAAAAGCTGCCTGTTTACATTAGCTTATAGCCATCTGTTTCAATGTTTTTCCACTGAGACCCAAGACTTGGTGTTAGTATACATGTATGACAGGCCTATTGCTGATTTTAGGCCTATGGTTGATTTTAGGCCTTCAGTGTGTAAGCAGGGCTGCCCCTGACATCTCCTCCCTTCTCTAAGTAAAGAAGGGCTGTGGCAATTCTAAACTTGCGAAGGTGGGGATAGAGGCCTGACCTCCAGTACTTGAAGGGGACCTTGTAATGGCTCCAGACCCCCTGTCGTTGTCCAGTGAGACATGAGGGCCATACCCATCCCAATGTCTTTTCCATGGAGAGGGGATACTTTTCACATTAACCCCTATGCAGTCAGGCTTGTCCCTCGGGGAACCCAGAGAGATATTTTTATCTTTTATTTATATTCCCTTGCAGTGCTTAGCCTCGCAGCCTAAGCAAGAATTCAGATCGCCTGTCAGAGGGGGTTCTGGGCAGCTCAGCCTTCTTAAACTTCTTGAATATGAATTGTATATGTGTGTCCCAGTTTCCTTTTAAAACTCAACCCATGATACTGTTTGGAGTCAGAGTGGTCTTCATGTGGGTACCTGTGCCACGGACTCAGGGCCTAGTTGACAGGAATACACATGGTTGAAGAACTTCAAGAGAAGTTCTAATTCTTTATAACTTGGGGCAGATAAAAAGAGTATGAGCAGGCTCAGAGCTTGTGGATTTGGTCATAGAGCACTCCATAGAGCAACTAGCACAAATACAATTGCATGAACTTCCTAGTTTCTCAGTGCTTTTGATGTTTACTTTGTACTACACAGTAGTCTGTTAAATTAGAATAGCATAATGGCTAATTTGACTGCCTTGCTGTTACAAACGCCAAAAAGCTGATAGAAAAAATGAATTTGACCAAGGCAATGTTGTTGCATCATTTCAATCTCATAAAATGTACTATTTATAGAGCATAGTAAAGCAAAGAGCAGCAAAGCAAGGTCTGCCTGCACACTACAGAAGCTAGGCAGTCATAGTGAAGATAAGGGGAATGAGCCACATTCTGGCCTTCTATACCAGTGTTTATTCCCCAGAGAAAATGCACTACATGATTTACAACACTCTGCAATTACAGAATGCTAAGGCCAATAGGAATTGGCCTGAGTAGAAAGTGATGCTGTCTAATACTCTATCCCCCTATCAGCCTCTAACTTGTTGAATCCCATTTCTATCTTGTTGCACTAAATACTCTCCCTTTTCCATAATGTCTCACCTTTCTCTATGCTTTCTTCCTAATATGAAAACAGGAATTCCACATTCTACTTTAGGCATAACTTCTATCCTCATATTATGCTTCATGTATACCTTCTGCTGTCATATTCAACTTCTCTATAATACCTAATATTGGTATACTATTTTAAGTGTTCTGGATAAGATCACCAAACTGTTAACATTTTGGTATTATTTTTAAATCCTTATTTTACTTGTTGCCTCCCTTGATTTCTAACAGTCTCTTCCACATCCCTTTCATACCTCTCCCTGTGCTCACTTTGTCCCTTAAACTACAGGTGCTTGCTAGGGTGGTATTCTTAGCATTCTGAACTTCAAGTACCTCTTTTGACCTGCTCTGTAAATAACTCACCCAAATTCAAGGCTTAATTTACAATTTTCCTAGTATATATTTTTAGTTCTATCTTCTGTGATGTCACAGATACATATAACCTATTAGATATCTAAATGTGCATGGAAAATTATGCATTTTAGGTGAAATACACCTTCAAAATTTGAGTATAACTTTCAAGTTGGTAGAGGAACAAATAAAACCACCTTCCACCAGCACAAGAGAAAGACACACACACTCACTTACACACTTGCAAGTTCACGAACATACACACAGACACACATACACACACACACCTATCAAATTTCAGAAAAAAAGAGAAGAACACACACAGAAACAGACACAGCAATATAGAAAGCAAAAGAGAAAGCAAGTATATAACGTCACACACACAAACAAATTAGATATAACTACATTTTTAATTAACAGATTATTATACTTAATGTAAAAGTAAAAGTCTATTTGTATACCTAAAACATGAGAACACATTGAGGGTTAAATGGAACACACTCAAATACAATAAAGCAGAAACTCTGTCTATCTGTGTTAATATCAAGTGAAGTAAATTTAAGGACAAAGCTTGTTTTTAGTGCTAAGGAATGTTGCTGCATAAGAAAATCATAGGATACGATTCTAAACTTATAGGCATCTAACAACAGCATCAAAATACACCCAACAGTTTCACAGAATTACAGGCACTATCATGAAGTACTACCTTCTTTAGTACCTGATTAAATGAAAGAACAAAAAAAGAATTGGGCATGCTTGTGTTCAAGCACAGGTAGTTATGAAGCATGCACAACTCAGCACTCAGCATCAAATGCACTTTTCAAGCACACTTAAAACATTTATTTAAAAATAAAAACTATAGCAACTGAAAACACTGTAACTGTGGGATAGACAAACAGCCTGAAGGAATAGGTTAAGAAATGTGGAAGTTCACAGAAGGAATGACCTCTGCAATACTAAATATCATGAGGTTAACTGAGAACTAGCTATATACAGAGTAGAAAAATCTGTGTACACACACATAGAAATCTACGTAATAACAATATGAACAATGGGTGGAGGTATAGTTTGATGACAGATTGCTTCACTAGCATGCACAAGGCCTGGGTTCAATCACCAGAACTGTAAATAAATAAAGTGCATGCAATTTTACTGTGGCTAGTGAGATATTTTACCTGACCTGCTTTTATGTAAGAGTAAAAATTTAGTCAGGAAGCTATATTTTATGTCAGCTGAGGATAGCCATTAACCCAAGGCACAGTGCGAGACAGTGAAGTAAAATATGAAGGAGAGGGAGGTGGTTAGCTATGCATTTCTTTCCTTTTTAAAAGGAAAACCTGCAAGAAACAGATTTTGTGCAAATGTAGGTTAAGATTCAGTACCGTGGGTGGTCAGAGGGTGTGGTACTGAGACTGAAGTTCTGATAAGCTCACATGCTATGTACAGGCTATCCTTGGGTTGAAAGACAATATAGAAATACTGGCTACACCTTTGTGCTGAGCACAGATAACTTGTATTTTCTGTATGTCTACAATACTTCATATATAGAAATGAAGCTCAGAAGACTTGCCAGCAGCCACACATGGGCTAAGTCACTCATAATTACAGAGTGATGTATATATCCATGTATGTGTGCATGTGTGTGTACATATGTAAATTATAAACAGATTGCTATGGAGAGACAGAGGGAGAGGCTGCTCTTGTTGTGACACATAAAATAGTATTTAGAAATATACATACACATATGTAAGTGAGGAGCCCATGAAAACTCTCACATCGATAGTATGTCTGAAAGAACATTTTAGTAGTGATTAATAACATTTTATGTTTTCTACCTCCAAGTTCCTAACATTTGACACATTACTTAATTAAGCCTAACCTCTTCATCTGTCATTGATGCAATACTCCTGAGGGACACTTTATGAGACGTTCTTACACTATAAAAAACGAAAAGTAACATCAGTTCAGATGGCACTTAGAATAACAATTCAGATTAACATTTTGAGTATTGTAAGCAAATGACATCATAAAGAAGAGAACAAACTGTCTTGTAAATAAATATTCCTGAGGGTTTGGGAAATTTATACTAGGTAACTACTCAATACATCCAATCATCAAAGAACATAGAATCTGGGACGGCTAGGACTTTGTGGTGGGTTTTGAGTTATATTTGCCAAAACCTATAATGTCTCCTGGAACATAACAGCAAAACCAAATAATTATTTGTGAAATGAATAAACAAATAAGCAAAGTGTTATTTAGTGACTTGAATATGCCAGGATGTTATATGGCATATAAGGAAATAATCCAAAATTGCCATTTCCCTGCAGGGCATCAACATTCAGTGAGCAAGAAAGATACAGAAAATTATTTTACATATTATATTACATTTAACAAATATTGGCATTACTGCAAATCTAGATATTTTAGATGGTAGAAACAGGTGATAAGGTAATAAATATGCTTAGAGGATCTATATGTAAATAAATGTGTAATAGAATGATGCAAAATTAAATTAGAATGTATGGATGATAAAGTATGTGCAAGATTCTATGAAAACATACCAAACAGGTGCCCAGATTGCCTAGGAAGTCCTTAGGAATTTCCAAGAATGAATATGAATTCTGAGTCTAGTGGTGCAAAAATCTGCTGGCTGGCTTTGGGCTAAGGTAAAATCAGGTAGGGGAAAATCAGAGATAAATTTGTTACCAGGGAAATTGGGGTTCCTTTCTGGGTTCTTATTCTAATTAATAAAAGAACTTAGAAACAAAAAAGATAGGTAGTACAATGTCATTTTTATTAAAATTTGAGATAAAAACAGGGCAGGCAAGCTGTGTATCTTGGTGGCTGTCAGGAGGAGGGAGTAAGAGGAGAGAAAGGAAAAAAACTTTTAAGAGTTTGGAGCCAAGAAAGCTGTACCTTGTGCAGCAGAAGTTAGCAAGAAGCTGGATAGAGGGCATGAAGGGATGGATGGGGAAAACCCAGGGTTCAAGGGAAAGGCAGCGAAGGCTTTGGCCAGTATCCACAAGGAAAAGACAGAAAGACAGAGAGGAAAGAAAGACACGTTGGAAGGTCTAAGGCTAATCTGGAGGCCTGGATCCATTGTCAATCGCCTCCAGACTTATTAGTTATTGCCTAGCTATCGAGCATACATTGAAAGAGACATGGGAAAGAAAAGGGGTTATTTAGAAAAATTAGAGAAATTTAGTGTGCCAAGATTCAAGCACAGGATGGGGGAAAAGTGTTAGAAATGAGGCTAAAATACACGCAGAAGCTCAAGGGCTTATAGACCATAAGAAAATTTCCTATTACGATTAAGGACTATCAGCAAGACAGTAAATGCTAGTGACAGTCTTCAGATTTATTTTTAAAAATCTATGTCAGTGAAAGCAACAGCAGTGTGTTCCAAAGCTGGACAAAGATGAGAAGAATTTGAGAAGAAAAAGGTAAGAAAAAAATTACCAAACATTTGAAATTCTTTGAAATAGACCTTTAAAATGTTTTGTCTATTTTACTTGAAGATTATAATTGCACTGAAATATCCATATCCCAAAGCCCACCTTATAGAATAAATATATGTGCATGTGTATGTGCGTGCACACGTGCACACACACACACACACACACTTTTAACCACATACAGGTGTCTCACAGATTTAAAGTCAACTGTAATGCATCATGAATAGTCTTATATCTAAATATGAAGCTGGAATATGATCCTGCAACACTACATGAGTAATGTTCCCAAAACTAAACGAACGTTGCATTTAGGTGTACAATGGCAGACTCTACATCTAAAAAAAAAAATGCTTTACTTTTGAAATGTAAACTTCTCCTGAAAGTGAGATGAACAGAGAGAGAAGATGTGAACTAATGGTCACTGGGCAGCATGTGTTGAGCATTCTTCTAGTCTCTGCCTTTCATCTCATATCCATTTATACACTGTAAAGCAAATATTATCTCCACAGAGGCGCAGCTAGTAATGGATAAGACTGAACGTGAGTCCCGAGGTTGTCCACCTCGGAGGCCCGCAGACTTGCAGCAGACTCTATCACTGACTCTGGGATGCCAGGAGCTACTGTATTTGTTGTGTATTTAACAGAAGTTATAGATTTTGCAGAAGGTATGCATCTCACTGACTTATTGTGTGCTTCTTTGGAACCATCTTCATTCAGAGCTTCAGTTTCTTCCTCCTTCAGAGAAGAGAGACACACAGTGTGAAGGTCAGTCAGCAGCACAGGGCAGGAAGGATCTTCTTCCCAAAGAGTAATAATATAACTGCAACTTGCGTGAAACCCAGGCATTAGAAGGTAAGCTGGCAAGCCAATTCCTTTAAAAACTCAGCTCTCATACACACTCATGTATATTTTCTCTTTTAAGATTTATGATTTGTATTAACAGAGATCACATCTGATTTGTTCTACTTTGATCCTTAACCTTAATCAAATTATTGGAAAGGATAGTTATAGATCAGGAGAAAAGAGATAAGACTTCAAAATATCTGGATCCATATGAAACCCTGAAGAAAGCACAAGGAAAAGTGGCGGCCCAGATGATGATAACAAAATATGCTTCAGACAGAACCATGACAAATGTATACAAACACAAGCATCCAAGTACAACAGAACCTCAACACTCTGGTTAAATGGAGCCACCGTAATCCTAACATCATTGGCATGTTACTGGCAGGTGTCAGAACAAGAAAATGGACAGGCTTTTAAAAACTTTAATAGAATTCCAATTTAAAAATACGTTTATACCTCAAACATGTCAGATTCTTCTTCCAGTTCTTCTAAAGAGGCTTCTTCTTCTATGTTGAAAAATATAATGAACATGAGATAGATAAAGTACAGACAGTAACAAGTGGAGTTTTAGCAAACCTCCCTCCCCAGTCTGAGTCAGTTCGTGCTACAACCATGGCTCAGGAAATGGGGAGCTTTGGCTTCACATCCACATCTACTAATATTCAGTTTCAAATGAGTCTGGAATCTTACTTCTTGTCAATGTCTTCCCGAAGGGCATGGGGAGCCAGAGAAGCACGGAAGGGAAGAGAGGAGGAGAGGGCCATCGCCCAAACATGAGCATATACAGACTGCTTTCTGGTTGGGTCTCTGTCAACTCAGAGACACACACAGGTTACGTCACAAACTTTGTGATTTTAACTCAAATACTCAATGACTGCAAAGCACCTGTGTGAGGACAGACATGACAGCAATGGTAATGAAGGAAAAGCACCAGGAATTTTTACCAAGAGTGTCTGACACCAGATGAAGAACCAGTGCAAAATACTGTGAGGTGCAATGGGAAAAAGAAAAAAGAAAACTTTTCTGGCAACCCTGACTCTAAACAGGTTTCCCTCCACCCTTACTTTTTCTAGAGCTCCCATTTTCCCACTCAGATTTTCAACCTTTTTTTTTCTTCTGGATTTTGCTATCTTCCTTTGCCTTTGCTATTGAATCTGTGTATTTCCAACTATATCACTGGGTGTTTTTTGTTTTGTTTACTTTTGGTTTTTTTGTGTTTTGTTTTTTGTTAGTTTTGAGGCAAAGCCTCTCTACTTAGCCAAGGTTGTCCTGGAACTCACTACATAGAGCAGGCTGGCCTCAAACTCACAGAGATCTGCCTGCTTCTGTCTCCTGAGTGCTAAGAGTAAAGATGTACAACATCATTCATGATTATGTTACTGGCTGTTATATAACTTGATCTGTTCACTAACTGCAACCCACTGCATAGATTGATTTAAAAACAGTCTTTAAGCCACCTTTTCTTTCAAAGTTTCTTTCTCTTTCATTCATTTAATTCTTTCAATTGACCTGAATTCAGTATTGAAATATCTTAATATTTAGTACTTAATAATAGTTTACATTTTAATCTAAATTCCCTAAATTTCAGCTGGCACTTCTTGGTCAAGAGAATGTTTAAATATGTCTTTAAATTTTTAAATATGATTAATAAAAACAGGAAAAGCATAAATATTTTTTGACATTTGAAATCATCATCATAGTTATTATTTTTTGCTTCTGGAGATATAATCAAGACCTTACATATACTAGATGAACCTAAGGGCTGCACCCTGAGCATGCTTGAAATGAAGTATGAGAAGCAATTTAGACACTTAAAAATTTCCCATTAAGAGGTTATTTTACACATAAAATATTAACATATTACAATATACTGTATAATATATATCTTATGATGTTATATGGGTGTATTTTATAAATACTATCTCCACAGTATGGTCTTATTAATATATTATTTAAATTAACAGTGCTAGTGTTTTAATAATGATACTCATAGATCATAATATGACATATTATACGATGTTACACAATAACAATTAAAAGTAAGCACAGAGAAAAACTAAAAATAAAAGCAAGGTCACACAAATAAGATGTAATTGTTAGATGTGGACATAAGGAAGCAAGACTAGATAACACAGTCTGAGAGGAAGCAGATCTGAAACTGATAGAAAATGTCCAGAACCTACTCAAGGAGTGTAGTGAATGTCAAGACTTTAGTTGAGGATAAAAACGCTGATATAAACTCACCACCATAAACAGGTCAAACAGATAAAAACACCTACTTTGGCTGTTTCATGAAAGGCAATTTAAGAAATATAACTAAAATATTTCACATTAGGAAGAGGCTAAAATATACTTCATGCACAGTAATATTAACATGTCTTTTTAATTGTATTAATATCCCACTCACAATGACATTCAGAGAGATTAAATTGAAGAGATAAATCAGAGCTCATGAGATAGCTCAGTGTGTAGGCAATCTGTAAATCTATTTAACTTTTAGTATATATTTGTATTTCAATGCATCTATGTTCTAGTTCAAGAACTTAATAGTTCATTATGCACACCTAATTACACCAAATGTGAACTCTCAAGAGCAACAACAGCACCAATGTGGGCACTCGACAGAGTATGTACAATCATACCCTATCCCAGAGCTCCTCAGCGAGGACACGTTCAGTGATTTATGTGTACATTAAAGTTTGAGAGGTAAATTGTTATCTCCAGAAACTTAGAAAAGCCCTTCTTTAGCACCAAGGGTTTTTAAGGAGAATGTAGCTAGCTGATGGAGATGAAATGCGACTGATCCAATAGAATCTCTGATAATATAAAAGTTATGTGTATGTGTTAAGGACAGCATATTGATAATCTCACCTAGCCCCTGGGATGCTGAAGCAGGATTGTGGACTAGCTTGTGTTACATAGACTTTGCAGGTTAGGAAAGAGAAAGAGGGAGGGGGAGAGGGAGGCAGAGAAAGAGACAGAGGCAGAGACAGAGACAGAGAGCTGTTTATGAAGAGAAAAATCTTGTTTATTATCTCTATGTGATAAAGTGTATAACCTGTAATACTACATGTTTTTTATATGACCAAGAAAGCTAAATCAAAATACAAGGAAAAGGTGAAAAGAACTTAATGTAGGTCATAAACACCTTATAAATGTTTGATGATTTCTATGTAGAAACATAAATTTGCTATGGTATTACAGAAAGAACTTGAGGTACACTTTGGAGGCAGCCCATATTTTTTTTGTTTGTTTGTTTTTGTTTTCATTTAAACAACTGGAATTCACTATCTGTAGATGAAATGAAAGCAAGTTTAATATGAACAGATCTTTAAAAAATAACATGTTCTTAAGTTTTAAAGACATGTAAATTCACTTAAGCAAACGTACCATTTTCTTCCAAAAATATGTTCAGTCCATTCACAATTTCTTGCCTGTTTCTTAACTTGCCATTCATCTCTATGATCTAAATTAGAAAACAATAAAACATCCAACAGAAAGTGCTCAAAAATCAGGTAAGTCTAGCTTTAATGATCAATTGGATTGCCCGTTATTGATATTAAGCATCTCCATATAAATGCTACCCACAAAATTGTATTTGCATGTTCAAGTCCCTTATTATTAGAGAGCTGCTGCACTTAAAGAACAGCTATGAAGTTTAGGGTTGCTTCCTGAAAACTTCCAGTGCACATTCAGCTTAAAATTAATCATGCTTTAAAAAGTGGGGTGTGGGGTGGCTTTCCTTGCCTGTGTATCCCTTAGGATGGATAACTGTTCTAGGGCTCTCTTATCATGTAAGTTAGCAGGAGCTGAGGCGAGGGCCTTCCTGCTCATCTTCTGTCAGTACCTGCAGAACCTAAATGGAAACCATGGAAACCATGCAAGGTGGTGACAGCCTCATCGATTCTCACATGAATTTTGTTTCTACAGAGACTTTAACCCTTTTTACATGGATCCCTCAGACTAAATATTCCAGCATAACTTCCCCAATAATTTGGCTAAAGTGTTCTCAATCTTATTTCGCATTTTTGTAGTCTGTGTTTAAAATTTTTATTAGCTTTTCAGTCAGCAGAAAAGAAGCCTTCCCCAGTCCTTATAGCCCTGAGACCTTGTCTGACCAGGGCAGTGCTGATGGCCACAGCTTAGTCTCAGCCTGGACCACTCCTTGCACTCCCCTCACACTTGCACACTGATGTCTTATCCACCAACTTATTTCTTCCCTGTCTTCTCCTGGGTGATCCCTTATCGACCATAAGAGTCAGTTCAATAATTTCTTCTGTAGGATTCTTTGCATTGGCTGTGGGCACTTGCTGTGTATGTTAATAGTGGACACCTTCTGCTCATGCACAACAAGAACTTTAACCTCATCAGAACACTAGCATTCAACCATTTTGTCTCTCTAGAGGCTAAGGTATACCTTCTCTTTCCACACTGAGTGTGACACTGGTGCCACTCAACATAAATGGGTATACAACTAGAGATTGAGAATTTTTATGACTTTGAGTCCTCCTTGAGGACACTTGGAATTTAGATCCACTGATAATTTTAAAAATTGTGGGAAAAAAGTACACTAGTTCAGAGATTTTCAGCATAAATAATAATGCAGTTATTATTTGCTGGGGGAAAAAGTGTTTCCTGATCTTGCTGAATGTTCAAGACAAACTAGACATACTAGAAACTGTTAGAGATGATCCTGGATTTGGGGATCATGTTTACATCTGAATGTCAGAGCTTAGCAGATGGTCTTTATCACAGCATAGTTCGAGGTGAGACCTTCTAACTCCCACTTTAAATTTTGATTGAGATAGTGAATTTCAATGGTTTAGCAGGAATTAAAAGCCTACAGGTTTAAAGAAATGGATGTGATACAGGATGTACCAGAAACAAAAAGCAAAGACTAACAGAAATGGCTTGAGACTCTGAGGGAATCTGTGTCCAGAACCTCAGGCAGGGCCTCTGCACCTACAGCATTTCCACTAGGAGCTCTAGCATCGCCTGGGAAGTTGTCATAAATGACACTTTGGTACTACACCCAACCCATCCCCCCAACATGAAATTCTGGATATATGCCTAACAATGGTTTCAACAAGCCCATCATATAATGAGCCCAATTTTGATAAGTATTGATACAATATTTTAAAGTTCCAGGAAAAACCCAAATCAAGTAAACAGAAAAGAACCTTAGCGTGGTTCTGTAAGAGTCTAGGTTTGATGCTTGCTCGTTAGCATTCCTGAATAGTGAAGTTTTTATACTATGCGCGCACGCACACACACACACACATACACACACACTAGTACAGTGTAATGAGAACCCATCTAGGGTCTAACACTCACTAGATAAGTGTCCTATCATTGAGGTGTATTTCTAGCTGCATACCTCTGTTTTAAACATTTTGAGACAAGAGTCTTGCTAATTTGCCCAGGATGGCCTTGAACTTACTGTGTACCCAGCCAGGCCTTGAATGTTCCATCTTGCCTCATCGTCTTGAGTAACTGGGGTTACAGGTCTGGTAGCCCAGCTCCAAGTTTTCATTACTCGTGCTAATGAACATAGGAGAACTGTCGACAACCTCAAGTACTTTTGTTTGGCTCTGCAGTAAGAGTTACTATTTTCTTTTAATACCTTTCTCTGTTTCATTAATAGCATCAACAGGAGAAACGGTGTGCACTGTAATTAGTGTGCTCTCAAGTCATTTAATCATCGGCAATTTTGTTTTCTTGTGTGTCCAGCTGACTGAGTACCTCACAAAGCCTTATTGGTGGCTACAACTTCATGGATACTGTCTTTCCTTGGATAGCTAATGACTCATTTTGGGGGGGATGAGCACGATGGGGACTAAATCCAGAGACTTGATTGTTTGCTCACGCTAGGCAAGTGCTCTGCAGCTGAGCTTCGCCCAGCACACTACCAGTGTTTTGGTTGTGTCTCACAGGCATTTTCTTTTGCAGAAAAAACTGTCAGGTTAACTTATTTTGTATGTGTAAGCCCTGATCTGATTTTACGGGCGCTCACTTCTCTCATCCATCTTTTAAGAGGCTAAAGCGATCTTGAAAAAAAATATGGTGAAAATAAACAGGGAAAAACATTTTCTTGACCCTTTTAGTTAAGAAATTTTGCTGTAGAGATATGGGTTCCAGTGACTGCGACCTAAGCCACAAAATGTGTATAAAATCACAACTAAATAATCAAGAAAGCCATGTGGTGGCAGCGCACTCATGTAATACCAGCCTTTAATCCCAGCTCTCGGGAGGCAGAGCAGGTGAATCTGAGTTTGAGGCCAAAGCCTGATATACAAAGTTCCAGGACAGCCAAGTTACACAGAGAAACCAAACACAAGCGAGGGGTGGGGTTGGGGACTTTAAATAAACAAGGAAAACAAGGATTTGTTCATCTAAGTTGGATCCAACACTTTAACTATGTAAATATCCTAAAATGCTATAGACCTGCCTACACCTTCTTCTCTGGCAAAATATTAGTACAAAAGGGACCGGTAGGCCTCATATCCAGATGGCCTCCATGTGGGTGTGAGCACCATGACAACCCTTATAAACACATTTGGGTACCTACAGAGCTTTGGGAAAATGACATTTAAAAGTCTTCCCTTTCTCAAGCTTAGGACAGTGAGCCCTAGAGGAGGAGTGAGTAATTTAGGACCTTTCTCTCCAGATATTTCTAACAGGTCTTTAACATCCTGCTCCGTCTCCCAAAACCCAGCCGTTACCTCCATCCGGGGAGGCAGGGCGTCTCCGTTGCTGCCTGCTCCAGCCATGTTGTGCAGGGCTTGTGGGTGTTGCTGGGATTGAGGGGGGTGGGGTCTCGTGGAGGCGGACGGACCTGGAGCTCTCGGAAGGTAGGCTATAACCAACAGAGCCAAGAGGCCTTAACAAAACTTGGCTGACCTCACCACAACCCATTCTCATGAGAAAAGCAGGCAGCTCCCATACATACCCTGCTGCTCTAAAGTCATCGGAGATGTTGTGGAGCCACATTCATCTGCTCTAAAAGCATTTGTCGAAGTGGTGTCAAGGAATGTCTTATATCACTCCTACTATCAAATACTTGCACTTTGTGGACCCTAAGGCCCCTTTAGACCCATTTTTCATGGTAAGTCATCTGTTAGGAACACTCAAGTCTTGTAATTAGTGTTGACAGTATCTGCAAACCCAAACTGATGCTCAGATGAGAAATACAAAAATGAGTTTCTCTACTCAAGAGACCACTGTGGTAGGTAGGGCCAATCTGGTTTACTGAGAAAATAAATCCGCATTTGTTGTTGTTCGGGGGTGGTGTGATGTATGTATAATTTCTTCTGTTCCTTGGTGACCTGTTACCCCTCACTTTGTCCAACTGAAGAGGATTGACTGGGCCTGGAAGAAGGCTCTAAGGTAAGCGTACTTCCTATGCAAGCAATCTGAGTTCTGACTCTCAGCTTCCTTGCCTCAACACACACAACAGGGACAGAAAACCTGGGTTGGCAGTGTGAACCTGTAAACTCAGCAATGGCCAGACAGCCTGGCAGAAAACCAGTGAGCTCAATGGTGAGAGACCCTGTCAGAAGAAATCAATGAAGAGAGCAATACCACACAACAGTCCCCTCATCTACCTGCCTCTGCATGTAGGCAAACATGCACATACAACACACACACACCCCAAATTTACAAAGTTAAGAGAGTTGTGTGTGTGTGTGTGATAGCAATATTTGCATCACAGGGAAAACTTTGGTAGGGAATCTGGCTGAGCAACAGGAACAATAGGAGAATAGGAATAGGTATCCTATTCTTTATATAAATACAAAGATTGAGTTTATAGATGACCCATGAGAACTATAGGCAGTGTGTGGAGACACCATACCCACTCTTACTCATATCTTACTTTAGACAACAAATGCATGTGTTAAACACATTGTATTCCAGCTTTTGGTAAAGTACGGGAACACTGATCTGGTTTGTGAAGGAATATGTGACAGAAAAAGATATTGTCATCTAATTTTTCTGTTAAAAATGTTTATTTTTCTCTTGCATATTCTTTGACACTAAAGCTAAAAAAATTATCATATTGGAGAGCCAGCAATACCTTATTTTGTCATATTCTCATTTCCTACTGCCCCATCCTACTTTAGAGCAGGACTGAAAAGTTCTCTTTGGGATGCCAGGTAAGGCTGTTTTGAGGGGTAAAATCTCAACAGGGTTAACTTAATAAATCAAACACCCAAGAACACACCTACCTTCTACTATGGCGCCTATTACCTACAATTAGTTTGAAGGCTGAACATAAAAACAAAACTCTATAGTCCACATTATTTATTTACACATATTTTACAACTTTAAAAACCTTTTCCAGTATACAAATCACTTTGATACATGATAGTACAAAAGTAGCGTAAGAACCACATTAATTTCCATAGTTACTAATGGGCATAAGCTTAATCATGAAGTTCCTGGAAGATGGGTCAAATGATGAAAAAATGGGCGACCATGCACACACCCTTTGATTTCTTTTCCGAACTGGTGCTTCATTCTACAGATAAGATCTTGGACATCCTCTTGTGGTAAGTACATGGGTAGCTGTCTAGATAGACGGACGGCTTCTCCCTATGAAAAGAAAAGCCACATATTTCATCCTGATAGACCCTGAAGAAGAAACACACTATTACAGCAAAATAAAAACTGATTCTCATTTATTCAACAAATATTTATTAAGCACATTAATGTGCAACAATGCTGCACATTCTGGAGACAAAGTCATTGGCAATAGAACAGAAGATCTCCTCGTGGAATTTACATTTCAATGCAGAAAAACAAACACCGGATTCCATAAAAACATTGTGAATACATAACACACACAATTAACTGGGCAAGAGCAGGAATTGTGTAAATGGGAAGGCTTGCTCAAAGAGATGGCATTTAGGCTTTTCAATTACCATGTAAAGGTCCTGAGCAGCATAAAGCATTTCAGAGACTAACACTGCATGGATGTGGCACTACAGTAAAAGAGACAAGGTAAGGGAAGTTAAGCAGGAGCCAGGTCACCATCTAGGACATGGACAGACTAAAATTTGAATACACAGGGAAGTAGAGATTAAAACAAACAGAAAAACAAATAAAGCCATACAAGTGTTTCATGTCATAAAGCAGTGTGGCTGTGGTGGGAAACAGGCTTTGAGGCTGATAGTCACTGTGGTACGGCTGAGAAGAGTTGAGATGGAAGGTCTGCCTTTGAAGTATTTGGTAGATTGAATAAGAGCTGCAGAATCAAAGGGAATGTCCTAAGGTTTGGTATGTAAATGCTGTTTTCTGATGTAGGAAGAGTGGTTTGGGGAATAAGAATTATAAACAAGACCAGCTTCTTTTAGCATAAAGAAAAATCTTGCAAGCTCAGAGTTGTTCCATTTTAACATTACTCTCTTTAGCCACAGGTCTATCACCTTTTCAGCCATTCCATCTCTTTATTCCAACAGAATCTTCTGGTTTTCCTTCACTCTAACCTTTAACCTCTCCTTCCTCTCAGACTCACAAGCCTCCCTGGAACATCTTTCCTTTATTGAGGTTGACCATGAATGAGCTATCCAGAATCCAGTAATAGGGCTGATTTAGCAAAAGTTTCTGAAGTACAAAGTGTTCAGGTTTCTTTCCCTGACCTTGCTAATCCTTAGCTGTGGGCAAATTCTATGCTAGACAATACAAGAATCAAACAACTGTCTTAGAATTACCCAATAAAAATGTCAGGTCTTAAGAGCCCTCAGTGACACCTGGAGATTGTCTTGTTCCTCAGGGACCGTCCTTTCTTTTATTATACCTGTATACTTGGTTTCATATCTGTTATGATACTCAAATGCCCAAAGCCTCCCTACCCCTCCACTTACAGCAGACAACTTCTCTTCTTTTATGACATACATAAACCAGATACATCTTCTCATTTACCTAAAAATGTTCCCTTTTAGTTAGACTTGATAGTGTACAGAAAAATTGGTGTGAGTTTGAAGCCAGTCTGGGCTACATAGTGAGGTCTTATCTCAAAATAAACAACTACAACAAAAAAAATCACTAAAACAAAACAAAAACCAAAGAAAAATTACTTTTCACTCTTGATTCGGAGACTATTATGTTTCTCCTTTCAAGAGAGAAACTGGCTTTTCCAAACAAGGCTTCTCTGTATGGCCCTGGCTATCCTAGAACTCACTAGGTAGACCAGGCTGGCCTCTAACTCACAGATTGCCCTGCTTTTGTCTCTGGCTGATTGTTTTTAACTTCTCCATAACAACCATGCCTAGTTACTCTAGCCTGGAAAACATTAGCAAAACCGTTTCAGTTCATTCTCAACTGCTTTTTTTTTTCTCCATTATGTCTAAAACCTTTCTTGACCACATGTTTTTTCCTCTTAAGAAAGATGTCTCTGGAGTTCTTTGAAACTATCACTGCTGAACTGTCCTAACAACAGGCTGGGAATTTCCACAAACAAAGCTCCTAAGGGGTTCCAAGCACAACGGAATCCAATGAATTGATTCTCCAGAGTCAGGTGACAGCATGCTTGCTATCTAAATGTCATGGACACAAAGCCACTTAATACAGAAGAAAACAAAGTCCATGTCTTTTCTGAGAATGACAGCCGTGGACTTTAATGAGACACTCAGAACTTCAGCTATTAAAGTAGTAGAGGTTGTTTCTCTAGACTTAGGCTACATTTGCTGAGCTCAGAAACTTCCTCAGCCCCTTCCATTTAGATTTTATTTTTGAGACAAGTATTTAGTCCTGGCTGGCAGTAAATCCTCCTTCCTCAGTCTTCTGAGTGCTGGACATATGCACATATGCCATCAAACCTGGCTTGCTCTGAGTGCACTTTTCTAAATCTAATTTTGTAATTCTCATTTTTGGTAGATGCTACAAAGTTTTGCAAAGTAAAACTTCATTTATTCAACAACTTAGCTCCCGCTACTCAATAATTTAGATCTCTTCCTTATGAAGTGCTTAAGGATTAGAGTCATCTTTAATTGTTTTAGATAAATAATATGGCATAAATTTGAACAATTTGGAAACCATTCTGAACTTACTTATGGAATTAATAAAAAAACAGAATGTTTCATAAGTAATCTCAATATGGGTCTAAAACTTGTATGACAAAGACTTCTGATCATATCTGTTAGTCTACATTGTGAAACGTTTTATTGAGCTTTTTAAAATAGCATTTTCTTCTTGAAAACTAACATTTTAGAAACTATTCTTTTAACCATTTACTACTGGGGTAGGTGGGTGAAACAGCCTTTAATCCTAGAAGATGATTAAAGACAGAAGACAGAGACAGGCAGGTCTCTGTGAGTTCAGGGCCAGCCTGGTCCACAGAGTGAGTTGCAGCTAGCCAGTGCTATGTAGTAGGACCCTGTCTGAAAACAAAACAAAATAAAAACAAAGTTTTCTATTTGAAAAGGGGCCGTAAAATTTAGGCAGGTCATGTGATTCAGTGCGGCATACCTCCAGATAATTTATCACTTTTCGAGGTCTACATTCATAAAGCTCCTTTGCATTTTTATTTATTATAGCATTAAGAATTTCCTTTAAATCCATTATTCCATAGAATGGGAGACACTTAGCCATTCCTTCTATTTCCAAGTAGTTCTCAGTACTGGAAACTCCTGAGAGAAAAAAACAAAAATACACATGCAGAGGCATAGTTAAGTTAGCTAAAATTATATTCCAGAACATGCCTATTGGAAACAAGTATCACTGTTAGAACACTTAGTGAACCTTCATCAGAATTTAATAAAGCTGGATAAAGTTCTGT